TTATTTTCTTTCCTTCATGTCTCATTATTGTAGAACATGAACCTGTTCTTTGATGGGGGGCCCAAAACAAAAGTGTTGGCTTTCTTTCAGAGTAATCTTAGTAGCATCTCACGAGCTAATACTTATCATAGGCAGATGCTCTCTTCATCCCTCTGCCGTGGTCTAGCTTTGTTTCTTCAACTACTAACTTTAATTAATTATCTTACAGTGCTGGGGATCAAACCCAGGACCCCAGGCATGGTAGGAAAATGGTCTACCTTTGAGCTCCACCCATATTTCCTTGGAAACTTTTAGAAACTAGTTTCTTGGAGTCCTGATTTTTCTTAACTTCAGCCCTGCTAGACCTCGCATTCCTAAATAACAGATGAAGTTGAAGTCCTTGCACTACACTTTACCTTCAACTTCTGTTTCACTCATATAATGGTATACTAAAGTTGCCCTATTCAGAGTGTTCTGGTGAAGATTAAATAAAGAGTCAGTATATGTTAGGGTACATCACTGGATTATTATTCAGGTGCTAAAAATGTTAGGTATAAAACTCTACTCATGTGTAAAAGAAAGGCTTTTCCATATAATATGTCTAATATGGGATGTGAACTAATATTTGTGAGAAAACCTATGTATATGGAAGGAAAATGGAGAAATGAGCATGGTTTGTTTTGGGAATGTGAAATTAGTGGTATTAAATGTAGAGATTAAATGCATGAGCACTCTACCATCGAGTTACCTTCGCAACTCTTTTTTAAAAAATTGAAACGGGCCAGGTGTGGTGGCACATGCCTGTAGTGGCAGCACTGGGGAGGCTGAGGCAGGAGGATCATTGCAAGTTCAAGACCAGCCTGGGCTACAAAGTGAGCTCAAGGCCAGCCTGAACTGCATAGCAAGACCCTGTCTCAAAAAGACCAAAAAACAAAAAACAAACAAACAAAAAAAATTGAAATAGGGTCTTGCTAAGTTGCCCAGGTGGGCCTTGAACTTGGGGTTTTCCTGCCTCAACCTCCCAAATATCTGGGATTACAGGTATGCACCACTGCTGCCACCTTAAATGTAGATTTCTATAAATATTAATAAAGTTCTTGTAGAGTTACAAAGTATTTAAGAGGTGGCTGATGATGCTAAAGGTGATGATGATATGATGATAATGATGGTGATTGTCTCAGATCTGATTCCCTTTTGGTCCTGTGTTATATATTCCTAATTCTTCTGTTGTATGTACTAGGAGTAGAAAATGTAATATATTTTATAGCAAAATATAGATAGCATGTTTTGTTGTTTTTGTTTGCATTTTTGGAAAGGAAATTATTTGTTTTTTAAGGAAGTCTGAAGAATGTTGCTTTTATATAAATGATTTCACATTTTAGTATGCAATTTTGACATTTCCAGACTATATTCTATTAATTTTACTGTCCTAAGATTGGGCCAGATTTCTCCAGGAGAAAACATAAATAACTAGCAGTGAGCATTTGGTTGGAATAGCTACTAACACACCTCTCAGTGGGGCTTCATAGGATCATGTGTTAGGCCTAGGCCGGGTAACCAGAACAGGCTTTTAATCATCTCTTAATGGTTTAAACAAAGGAAATTTTTTCTTTTCTATTCCAGGGTTGTAATTTTTCTATTAGGGTCAGAGATGCAATATTGAAATGTGAACTGAGTTTACCTCAGTCATAGAACAGTGACCTAACAAGCACAAGATCTGGGTTTCATCCCTAGCACCCAGAAAAAAAAAATCAAAGAAGAAATTACCTATTGCCATGTGCAGAGTTTTTTATTTCTTTAAACTAGGGATTTGTTTGTTTAGAACTTTCTTTTAGTTTTTATAAAATGTAGGTGTAGTCATATCTATAGGTGAATAGATTGTTTAGTAGATCTTAAGTCAGAGTAATGGTATGACATTTGGATCAATGAGAAATTTACTTTCGAATACCTAGAATTAAATGTTGCCAAAGAAGTGTAAGACTGCTGCTCTTGAAAGGAAAACAATGTCCAGAGAAAGAAGACCTAAATAAGAAGGAGACATGCCATCTTTACTGGTTTGAGGGTTCAATATTGTAAAGATGTCAGATCTTCACAAATTATTCTTTTAAATCACGAGTAGGTGCTTTTTCATAAATTGACAATATGACTTCAAAATTCATACAGAGCCAAGCATGGTGGTGTCCACTTGGAATCCCAGCACTTGGGAGGCTGAGGCATGAAGATCACCATGAGTCTGAGGCTACCCTGGGCTATATAGTGAATTTAAGACCAGCCTCAATTATAGAGTGAGACGTTTTCTCTCTCTCTCTTTCTCTCTCTGTCTCTCTGTCTCTCTCTCTCTCTCATACTCGCAGGCACACACAGACACACACACACACACACACACACACACACACACACACATAATTCATATGGAAATACAAAGGGCTAAGATTAACCAAAATGATGTTGAAGGGGAACAGAGGTGGCAGGTTTTACATTACCAATTATCAAGACTTGTTAAAAAATTAATTCTGATAGTGTGAAAGTCATGTATGCTTAGCCAGACTAACCAAAGAGATTGGGCAAAGACTCTTAACATGACACACACACAGTTCCAGGCGGATTAGAGAGCGAAATGTGAGGGGTGTAGTCATAAAGCCTTTGGATAACACAGGGGAGCGTTTCCAAAACTGTCACACAGATTCAGTGTACTCCCAATCAAAACACCATTAGCATACCTCACATATGTACAGAAAACATTCCTAAAATTCATCTGGAATAGAAGAGACCTAGAATAGCAAAGGCAATCCTGGGCAATACAGGGAAGGCAGAAGACATCACAATCCTGACTTGAAGTATACTGCAGAGCTACTGTGATAAAATCAGCATGGTACTGGCAAACAAACAAAAAAACAAACCTAAGGATCAGTGGAACAGATCAGAAGATACAGACATAACTACAAGCACACTCATCCACCTTATCTTTGACAAAGGGGCCAAACATGTTCACTGGTCGAAAGATGGTTTTCTTTAATAAGCAGTGCTGAAAAAACTGGCTTTCTGCATGCTGAAGACTAAAACTAGACCCATGTCTATCACCATGCACTAAACTAAAGTCAAAATGGGTAAAAGAGCTAAATATTAAAACAGAAACACTAAATCTAATAGAGAGAAAGTAGATAGAAAGCTTGAAGAGATAGGGGTAGGCAGAGAGTTCATGAACAAAAATCAAACTGCACGAGAAATACTTCAAAGAATCAGCAACTGAGATCTCATCTTACTGAAAAGTTTTTGCACATCAAAGGAAATCACCAAGACAGCACAAAGAATACCCATGAATTGGGAAAAAATTTTAGCCAACTGTCCCTCAAACAAAGGATTTCCATTGAAAACATATAAAGAATTTAAAAATTTCAATCCCCCCAAATTCACAGACCCAATCCAAAAATGGGCATCTGAGATGAATACACACTTCACAGATAAAGAAATACAAATGACAAATAAATACGTGAAAAAATGTTTAACATCTTTGGTCATTTGAGAAATACAAATTAAAACAACACTGAGATTCCATTTCACCCCAGAAAGAATGGCTATCATGAAGAAATCAACCAATAACAAATGCTGGAAGGGCTATGGGGAAAAAGGAACCTTTCTCCACTGTTGGTTGGAGTGTAGACTCGTACAACCACTGTGGAAATCAGTGTGGAGATTCCTCAAAGAATTAGGATTAGAGGTCCCATTCGACCCAGCAATTCCCCTTCTGGGTATTTTCCCAGAAGAAGTGAAAACATTATACCACTGCAACATATGTGCACCCATGTTTATAGCAGCACAATTTTTCATAGCTAAATAATGGAAACAACCCAAATACTCATCAACTGAGGAACGGATGAAAAAGTTGTGGTGTTTTTATACAGCGCAGTATTACTCAGCTTAACAGGAAGATAAACTCAGAGCTTTAATAGGTAAATGGATGCAACTGGAGAGCATACTCATAAGTGAAATAAATCAGACCCACATGTATAAACATTGTAATGTCTCCCTAGTGTAAGCGACTGTAAGAGTAAATAAAATCCTAAAAGTACAATAGATATTGTCCAAGGGAAAAAAACTGCTCAAAGAGAAAGAACAACTGGCATGAGGGAAAGAAGAGAAAGACAAAAGGGGAAAATATATCTATATATCTATATATCTGTATATATCTATACACACACACAAAAGATAACTAAGATAATTGTACTACTAGTTTTTGTTGGTTTATTGAAAGGAGCATTTAATGCTTATTTTTTTTATTAATTTTTTTGACCAATTTTGCATGCTTATATCTGGTAATCTGAAGATAACAATATGCAATATAACAACCATTTTTTGTATTGTTTATATGTGTACGTTTCTGCCTGTAGATAACACTGCTTCAGTAAAACAATTTTAAAAATGGCCAAAGTGTGTAATGGTCTCATGCTGTGATAATTTATGTGACCCAGCTCTGTGTGTCACAGGGGCCCTATCTTGGGTGACAGTGTTTGAATCATCCCGCCTCTTAGAGAAGGCAACTCTTGGACTCTCAGGTTTTCCTCTCCTGTGCTTTATTCGTACTTTTATTCTTAATGTTACAGTCTTTCTGCAGATGGAGGCGAATGTCCTCTGTGAAAGGCACCCTGACTGAGTATAGTCCATTCCAGTCCTGAGCTCACTCTTGGGTCCTTCACGCTGGTCCTTGTGACTGTTGCTGTTGATTCTTGGGAAAGAAAAAATAAAATCCATGATGCTATTGTCGAGATGGTAATTTTTATTTAGCCCTGTTACTGGTGCCCGCCCTTTGCCACATCTGGGCCTCTGCTTTTCTCATCTGTAAAAACCGTGATTCAGTGGCGAACAAAAGTGTGATTTACTGAGATCCGCAATTGGCTCTATTATACAGCGTTTTGGCTAAACGTACTTCCTTGGCATCTGTATAGTTGAGAGGGTAGCACAGAAGACATTATCGTGTGGTTCAGTTTCTTGTGAAAAATGTTAATTTCATTCTTCTGTTACAGGTAACCAGAAATGGAGAGGAAGATAAGCAGAATCTGTTTTGCTTCCAAACCCAAAGCAATTCAGTTTTTACAAGTGTCTTGGGAGAGAACGCTAGGATCTGGTTTTGTTATTACACTCACTGATGGTCAGTCAGCGTGGACCGGAACAGGTAATATTTAAGGCCAGATTTCTATGAGTCAAGTTTAAATAATGTGCTATTCTTCAGTCCTCAGCACTGCTTCAAATTGAGGTGTTTCTTCAGTATATGGGGTAAAATTAATATTGTTTTTAATTTTATGACTGTCTAGTTTTGGATACAAATTTACAATTTTTTCCAGTTTGGTATATGCCATTTTTGTGTAGGATTTGTAAAATTTACTGCTGTTTCCACAGTAGCTATTAATAGAAAATAAGGATGTGCTCCAGCTAATGCTGGTTGCCACGTGAGTCTTGGGGCTTGGACTTCATCAGAGTTTTAAAGTGCTCTCTTGATTGGAAACGTAAATGCTACTTGCAACATTTATCTCCTCTCAGGACCGCAGGGGAGTAGTGGGAGGCAGAGGAAGTGGGCTGGCAGGATCAAGAGTTTGTGTTGGGTTGCGGGTGTAGAGTGGTAATGGTGGTTTTCTCTTTGCTTCATCCACTTATAATTTGAATTATTTTCCAAGGAGCAAGTACCAGATTTGTAGTAAACCAAACAGAGCCATAGCCTGAAACTTTGTAATGCAAGATTCAAAGCTATATATGGTATTTTATGAAATAGAGCTTTACTTTTTCTTAAGTCTTTGTTTATAGTCTTTTAGAAATGTTGATGAAACAGAGCATAATGGCACTCCTTGTGATCCCTGTATTTGGGAGGCTGAGGCAGGAGGATCTCTGCAACTTCAGGGCCAGCCTGGGCTACATAGTGAGTTCAAGGTCAGTCTGAATTACATAGAGAGACTCTGTCTCAAAAACAAAGAAAATATATGCTGGTGATCCTCAAATCATATAGGAAACATACCAGGTATTAAGTCACACAGTTCAGAATTATGTTTTTCTCATGTAGTAAAATTTTAAAACTCTTCTAAAAAATTTTATTGAAATATTAAAAATCTATTTCTATAATCATACAACAGTATTTGTAGAGTTATGTTCCAAATGATACTTTAAATAAAATATTTTTCTGTTAATTTACATAACATTTATATTTTTAACTTTCAAAATAGTTCCCTAAAATTTCTTACTATACTCATTATATTGTCTTTAAAACTTAAATACATTATGAAATTCTTTTTTCTTTCTTGAATGTTACGAATTCAGTTATATGACAATCAAACTGAATTTGTATTTGGGGGTTTTTCTTGTTTTCATGTGTCTTTTTATGACAGTCGAAGAAGTGTCGATGTCATTGTAAAATAAAGAAGTTTCAAGGGCAATGTTTGCAGTCCTCATTGTGGTATCCATGTAAAGTGCCAATTCCTGTGCTAGAGAAAGCAGTTGTTGTTGCTTTTGCACTGCAAGGGAGGAGGAGGTGTGTTAACCCAGCCCCTGTGTTCCCAAGAATAGATTCAGTGGACAGTTCGTGTTCAGGGAGCGGAAGGTGCCTATGGCGAATCCAGTACCATTATAATACTATAATGCTTTTTTTTTTGATTGAAAGAATCAAAGGATATCTTAAGTATGGAAAACTGGTTAGGAAAAATAAAAAGAAAATGAACCATTCATTTCAGAACACATTATTAAGTGAGTACTCCAGTTTCATATTTGTAGTTGACATTGATCATAATTTCAGTATATTCTACCGTTTGTTTTCTAGCTAATGGAATTTAGTGTGACCAAAATGAAATCTCAAACTTTTATATTCTCTGGTGGTTTGTTTACGTGTTGACTTCCTGTACTGAATAAGGTCTTCAACAGAGAATTTTATAGTGCCCTATCTGGTCATTTTTTGTTTCAAAGATATTTAATAAAGTTCAAATTTCACATACATGTTATGCTCTGCATTACTGATTTCTATTTTTTTGTTTAGATTTTAGGGATGAAAATAGGTAAGCAAATAATGAACCATTGCTTCTATTTTCAGTGAGGGCACATTGCATGTATGCGGTATGGTACTTCATAGATAAGTCATAACATAATTAAGAGCATTGAAACAATTACATAATTGAAATGTGAAAATAGATTTCCTTCCTATACCTCATCCTGTTTTGTTCTTTTTTTCTTTCATTTTGTTCAACTTTTTGATTACCGCAACCTTCAATTTGGACAATATTTTTCTCTTTTCATTTGAGTGAAATTAAAAGGATGTGGGGTTTCTTTTCATCTCCCACACACTGAACTTTCCCAGTAGCAGTGCTTTATCCAATGACTGTATTGGGTGGCTAATTATCACGCAGCCTATCATCACTTCATTACTAGAGAGGGTCACGCTGCAGGACCGTCACAAAGCAGGACACTGGCTGATGACTGCTGCAAGATTGTAGGAATAGCTGTCAGCAGTGAGAACCCCCATCCCTGGAGTAGTTTTAAGTTTAGTGAAGAGTACCCAAGCTTTGGTTATAGTTTCATTATCAAGTGACTAGATCCACTTCAGCTGTCTGAAACATAGTTTTTGGTGACTTATATGGAAATAATATGAGAGAGCTAAGTGGAAAGAATTTTAATAAATGAAACAATAAAGTGGGTTTGTGGTGTGATAACATCAAAAATGGGGTGATCAGGCCATGTGTCTGCTGAGGATGTGTGTGGTGCTGGTCAGTGATGCAAAGGCACGGGAGGAAAGAATCTTCTTCTCTGCCTCTTCATCTGCCTACAGATGCTGAGAAAGTGACTCTCTTGACTTCTAGCTGTCTGTGAGCAGGCCCTGGAGTTTTGGCCTGCTCACTTTTATACTCTATTATGGTACGGTTCAGCTGCATTTTTGATGAATTTTATTATTTCTGTTGCTTTTATTCCTGGTTGCTGAAGGGTTAGAACTCTGAATGCTTACAGCTGTGGCTTTTCTAGATGTTCGTAGCGCAGCTTTTAGCTGCGACCAAGGTGTTTTGCCAGGATTGAGGTTCTCTGTAGGTGGTTCGTTGTGCACATTCCCTTTTATAGAAAATGGTCAAGTAAGTGTTTGTAACTAGTACCTTTTTATTGTAGTTTCTAAGAGGGAAATAGAAATAGAAAGATGATTTCCTTTCATATTATTTTCTCTCTCAAAAATCAGGTATATCATAATAAGAACAAAATTCCTAGTGGGAAGATATCTAAGATGATCTCTAAGGTTTCATCTAAGATGTCAGTACTTGAATAAGAGCTCAGTGTGTGGCACTGTTTGTATGTTTAATTGTTATATTCTTGGTCCCTAGAATAATGCCTGGCATATAGAATATGCCCATTAAATATCTTTTTTGTACTAAATAAGTTAAATGAATATATTCTGTTTAATATTTTCTGAAATATCTTTTCATTTTAATGAAATTTAGAATAGTTTTAACTTGATGTTGGGGCTGGGGATTTAGCTCAGTGGCACAGTGCCTGCCTGGCAAGCACGAGGTTGTGAGTTCGATTCCCAGTACCAGAAAAAAAAAACAAAAAAAACAAAAAACCTTGATGGTTTATCTATAGATGGTCTTTATTTTCTTTTGCACTTCCTCCTCCAAATTCTCCTAGAGCTCCCCTAAAAATATTTATTTTCTATTTCTCTATGAAATAATTTTCTTTATAGGAAATAATAAGATAGGATTTTGTACCACATTATTTAAGAAGTTACTAAAAATAATAGGATTTTGTACCACATTATTTAAGAAGTTACTAATTCTTAAATAGTAACTTCTTAAATAATGTGGTACAAAATCCTATTCCTCAAGTGGGAAGCATTTGTCTTCTTATTTTTGTTAGTGTAGAAGAGCTACTAAGGGTTTCGAAAGGTCACTAGAGTTGTTAGTGATGATTACCTTAAGTACTTGCATCATAGGGAGAAAAAACGTGAATGTGTTTTAGAAGCTATAACATCATACTGGAATACAAGTCACGTTTATTTTTCCCTGTGTTCGAAGTCTGTGTGAAGTGTGAGGGTTATATTTGACTATCAGGACTTACGAGAAATGATTATGTAAAATATATGGGCATGTGATAGCTCCCTTTTTACCTTGCCTTGGGCTTTCCTGATGCTTTTTTTTGGGGGGGGTTTTTCTCCAGTACCGGGAACCAAACTCACGACCTTGCGCTTGCCAGGCAGGCGCTTTTGCCGCTGAGCTAAATCCCCAGCCCTTTCCTGATGCTTAATAACATACAGAAGAAGGTTATGAAAAGATATGTTTTCTTTTTAGGGATTCTGTAATCAACATTGTATTGTATTCTGTAATATTTTAAATTGATGTGTTTTTCAGAGTTATGGAAGGCAATGATTTATCCAGTGCCTTGTGTCTCTGCCTGACCTCAAAATGGGACACAGGAATTCCAGTTTTACCACTCACCTCTTCTAGATCATGACTCTAGATCATCTCTTGATCTCTCTGAGCCTCAGTTTTCTATTTTGTAAAACAAAAGTAATATCTATCAAATAGATAAGCCTGTGGCGCTCATCATAACCTCTAAGTGTAAAGCATGGAACTGCATAGTTCTCTCATCATTGTGCTAGCCTGAGCTAACACAGGAAGCTACCTGACTACACAAACATTCCAAAGAAGTGCTAGATTAAAAAAGCAGACAAAGGAGCAGACACGTTGCTGCTTGGATAAGAAAGAAGAAAACTCTCCAGTACTCCCTATGGAAAGCCATTGTAGGTGCTGAGAACTAAAGCTTAACTAAATTCATAGACTATCTGAATTAGATATATGTCAAATTAATTTTCTTTTGCAGTGCTAGGGATTAAACCAAGGGCCCCATACAGTTAGGCAAAAGCTTTACCATTGGGCTACATTCCCAGCCCTAGGTACATGTCTCAGTGACTGTGATAGCAGCATCTGCATAGTAGAATGTCAGACAGCAGGACTCTTAGGTACGAGTTTAGCTTTCAGTGTGAAGAAAGGAACCTGGAAGAGTTAGTCTGCTAACAAAATCATCTTAAGAAAACACTCTGCCTGCCTGGGGATACGCATAGAATGAGACTAACCTTTAAGGGTTACGGGTGAGTAAAGTCCCAGAAAAGTCAAAGTCAGAACCCTAAGCATGGTTTATGTACAATGTGTGGTTTAAAAT